AAAAAAATTCCCAAAATATTCCCAAGAATTTCTCAAAGAAGTCCCGCAAAAATTCCCCCCAAAAAATTCCCAGAAAATTCTCGAAAATTCTAAAAAAATTTATGAAAAAACTAAATAAAAACTTAAACATTTCCTGAAAAATTCCCCATAAAATCCCCCCCTAAAAAAACCCTAAAAATCCTTTAAAAACTTCATAAAATTCCAAAAAAAATCCCAAAAAATTCCCAGAGAAAAATAATAAAAAAAAAATCTTTAAAAAGCTCCCAAAAAACACCCCAAAAAATCCCCAAAAATTCTCCTAAAACCCCCCCCCGAAAATAATAAAAAAAATCGCAAAAACCCCTCTAAAAATTCCATTTTTTCGCCGATTTCGGCGCCGTTTTCGCTGTTTTGACCGGGATTTTTTGGGGAATTTTTGGGAATTTTGGGAATTCCCACCTGGACCACGAGCTCCTGGAGCTGGGGGAAGTCCTCGGGGTGCAGGAAGGCATCGAGCTCGGGCTCCAGGAGCCGCCCGTCCTTGTCCTCGTCCGCGGCCTCGAAACGGCGCCGGGAGCGCAGCAGGAGCTGCCGGTGGGAATCGGGGTCTGGAGAGCCCTGGAAATCCTCTGGAAAAATTGGGAAAAATAAGGAAAAACTGACCCAAAAAAAGCCTCAAAATTCCCCCAAAAAATCCCATCAAAATTCGTCCCGAAATTGGCAAAAAAAATCCCAAAAATTCGCAAAGAGACTCAAAAAAATCTCCCAAAAATCCGAGAAATTCCGGCAAAAAAAGCCCCCCAAAAATTGCTAAAAATTCCCCAGAATTCATCGAAAAATCGTCCCAAAATTTGCAAAAAAACTCCCAAAAAATTCCCCAAAAAAATCCCAAAATTCCCCAGGAAACGGGGCCAGGAGTGGAAGAGGAGCTGCCGGTGGGAATCGGGGTCTGGAGAGCCCTGGAAATCCTCTGGAAAAATTGGAAAAAAATTACAGAAAAAAATTCTAAAAACTCACCTCGCAAAAACCTGAAAATCCCCAATAAAACCCCACCAAAGAAACCCCAAAAATCGGCAAAAAAATCCCAAAAATTCGCTAAAAAACCCCAAAAAATCTCCAAAAAACCGGGAGAAATTCCTGTAAAAATTCCCCAAAATTTTCCCCCGGTTTCCCGGATCCTCTCACCGTCGTCCCCGAAGGTTCTGTCCTTGAACTCCGCCCAGGTCACGGCGCCGTCGCCGTCCCGGTCCAGCCGCCCCCGCTCCCGGCTCAGCTCCTCCTGCCGGGCCCCGCGGTGCCGCCGCAGGATCCAGGCCCGCAGCTCGGCCCTGGACACCCCCCCGGAGCCGTCCGAGTCCATCAGATCCACCAGCAGCCTGGGATTGGGGAAAAAATGGGAATTCTGGGCATAAAATTCCCAAAATCCTAACCAAAATTGATATAAAATTGATAAAGTTACAAAAAAAACCCCAAAATCGCGCAAAATTCACCCAAAATTTCCACCCTGGATCCATGTGAGTCCATCAGTCCCACCAGCAGTCTGGGACTGGGGGAAAAATGGGAATTCTGGGGATAAAATTCCCAAAATTCCCACTAAAAATGACACAGGTTTGATAAAGTTACAAAAAAACCCAAATCGCGCAAAATTCACCCAGAATTTCCACCCTGGATCCATCTGAACATTTTTACAGGAATTTTCCTGAGAATTTCAGGGATTTTTTTGGTATTTTTTTCCATAGTTTATTTCAAAAATGTTTTGTGATTTTTTTAATATATTTTCTGTGAAATTTCCGTGAGTTTTTGTGAACATTTTTGTGAATTTTTGGTGAATTTTCTGTGAACGTTTGGGGGAATTTTCTGTGGATTTTTGGGAATTTTTTTGTGAATTTTCCGTGATTTTTGTGAATTTTCTGTGAATTTTTGAGGGTTTTTTGGCGAATTTTCTGCGAATTTTTGAGACGTTTTTAGGGATTTTTGGCAGGAATTTTTGGGATATTTTTGGGATATTTTCAGGGATTTTTCGGGATATTTTTGGGATATTTTCAGGGATTTTTCGGGATATTTTCAGGGATTTTTCGGGATATTTTTAGGATACTTTCAGGGATTTTTCGGGATATTTTTGGGATATTTTCAGGGATTTTTTTCCCTCACCTCAGCCTCCTTTTGGACTCCTCGGGGGGCAGCTCCTGCTGCTCCTGCGCCTCCTTCTCCCCCCAAATGGCGGCGTGGTCCCAGAAGAGCCCCTGGGCGTCGTGCTGGTGGGACTCGGGGGGCTGGGGACCCCCAAAATGGGGCTGGGGGTGCTGGGGGGGCCCCCCAAGGGCCAGAGCCAGGAGGGAGCCCAGGGGGCAGAGCCAGGCCGGCAGCATCTGGGGAGAAAAACGGGCAAAATCTGGGTGAAAATGAGAGAAATGAGCGAAAAAATGGAGAGAAATGGGGAAAAAATGGAAAGAAATGGGCAAAAAAATGGAGAGAAATGAGAACAAAATGAAGAGAAATGAGAAAAAAATTGAAAGAAATGAGCCAAAAAAATTCCCAAAATGGAGAGAATTGAGCACGAAATGAACCTAAAACTGAGGGAAATGAGCCCAAAATGCTCCAAAATGTTCCTAAAACTCCCCCAAATCTTCCTCGGATCCCCCCAAAAGCCCTCAGGACCCTTCGGGACCTTCAAGACGCCCCAAAATCCCCCTCGGAAACCCAAAATTCCCCTCGGAACACCCCAAAATCCCACCCAGGATCCCCTAAAATGCCCCTCAGACCCCCCGAAACCCCTCAGGACCCTTCGAGTCCGTCAAGATCCCCTCAAAATTCTCCTCAGAACACCCGAAAAGTCCCCTCGGAACCCCCAAAATCCCTCCCAGGACCCCTCAGGACCGTTCGAGACCCTCAGGACCCCCCAAACCCCTCACGGATCCCCCAAATCCTCCTGAGACCGCTCAGGACGCTTCGGGAGTCTCAAGGCTCCTCCCCAAATCCCCCTCAGAACACCCCAAAATCAAATTCAGGACCCCCCAAAACCTTTTTTAGACTCCCCCAAACCCCTCAGGACCCTCAAGACCCCCCAAAATCGCCCTCGGAACCTCAAAAATTCGCCTCAGACCCCCCCAAAATCCCCCTCGGGACCCTTCGAGTCCCTCAAGATTCCCTGAAAATCCTCCTCAGAAAGTCCGAAAATTCCCCTCAGGATCCTCCAAACCCCACCCAGGACCCCCCAAAACTCCGCCAAAACCTTCTCAGAGTCCCCCAAACCCCTCAGGACCCTCAAGACCCCCCAAAATCCCCTCAGAACCCCCGAAAATTCTCCCCCCCCCCCTTACCTCGCCCTGTCCTGCCCCAAGCCCGTGGGGGTCCCGCTGTCCCTCACAGCCTTGGCCCCGCCCCCTTTGGGCGTCTCGACCAATCAGCATTGGCCTAGCCCACGTCGGGCGGGGCGAGGCGCGCTCCCATTGGCTGCCGCGCGCCACGTCCGAAAAGCCGCTTTTTTATCCCAAAGTGAGCGGGGGAAGGGGGGGATAGGGACGGGGCACTGGGATATACTGGTTTATACTGGGATATACTGGTTTATACTGGGGTATACTGGTTTATACTGGGGTATACTGGTTTATACTGGGGTATACTGGGTTATATTAGGATATACTGCGCTATACTGGGCCAAACTGGTTTTTACTGGGCTGGAGCGCGGTTTACTTGGCCAAACTGGTTTATAATGGGCTGGAGCGCGGTTTACTTGGCCAAACTGGTTTATACTGGGCTGGCGTGGGGTTTACTGGGACAAAGTGGTCTATACTGGGTTGGAGCTGGGGATACTGGAAAGGACGGGGGAAAATGGCGGCAAACGTGAGGGGGCAAAAGGACGGGAACCGTGAGGGGACAAAAAGGGCGGGAAAACGTGAGGGGGCAAAAGGACGGGAACCGTGAGGGGACAAAAAGGGCGGGAAAACGTGAGGGGCGAGAAGAACGGGAACCGTGAGGGGACAAGAAGGGCGGGAAACCTGAAGGAGAAAAAAGGTAGGAAAAGAAGGAACAATGGAGGCAATATCCCCCTCAATTCCTGGGTTCCCCTCCCCAAAATCAAGCGCACACTCTGGAGGTTGCCCAAACACTTTTATTTCTGATGGGGCTCACGGGGCCTTCGCCGCCCTCACCCTCTTCTTCCTCACCACCACCGGCTTCTGGCTGCGCAAGATGGCGCTGGCCCGGCGCAGAGCGGCCTGGAGGGGACAAAAACGGGGGTCAGCACCCCAAAAATAACAAAAAAACCCCCAGGGATGGGAGGGAGCAAACTCTAAATTATCCCTCTGGGCTTCCAGCCTAAGTTTGGGGACCACCCTCAATTTTGGGGATCCCCCTCTGAGCTGCATGGAAATCCCACAAAGATCCCCTCACTCTCCCCCAGGAATTTTAAGCCCCTTTAAAATTGTTTTTTTTGGGGGACGTTTAAAACATATCCCAGTTTTGGGGATCTCTCCTCTGTCAGCATGTGAAGCTCTGTGTCCCCTCCTGTCTTATCACACCCACAAATTTTTGGGGTGTCCACACTTTTGGGGTAACGCCCGAATTTTTAGCAAACTGCAGCATCTTCCTCCTATAGTCCAAAATTGAGAGAATTTGGCCCAAAATAACCCAAAATGTGCCCAAAATGGAGAGAAATGAGCCCAAAATGAGCCAAAAATGCCTCAAGATAAACCCAGAATTCCCCCAAATGGAGAGAACTGAGCTCAAATAGAGATAAATTAGTGGAAATTAATGGAAAAGGGTTCACAACCCTGTCACTTTTGGAGTTCTCCATAATTTTGGGCACCTCCTGGATTTTGGGGACCCCACCTCAAATTTTGGGGTGCCCCTCCTCTGTAAACCTGTGAAGCTTTGGGTGCCCTCCTGTGTTATCACACCCCCAAATTTTGGAGTAACCCCCAAATTTTTGGATAACTGCAGCATCCTGCTCCTAAAGGAATTCCACTTTCCCGTGGGTTTGGGGAGAGGATTTGGGATTTTTTTGGGGGGGGCGTTTAGGGTTTTTTTTGGGGAGGTTTAGGGGGGTTTTTTTGGGAGGATTCGGGGTTTTTGTGGAGTTTTGAGATTTTTTGGGGGGGTTTGGCGTTTTTGGGGGGAGTCTGGGCTCCCCAATTTCAGGGGGTTTGGGGAGGGGTGAGGTCCCAATTTTGGGGGAGTTTTGGCTCCTGATTTAGGGAGGCGCTCGGGGTTCCAAATTTGGGGGAATTTGAGGTCCCCGATTAGGGGGGGGTTGGGGTTCCAAACGGATTTCGCAGCCCGAATTTCGGCTTTTTTTTTTTTTTTTTTTTTTTTTTTGGGTCTTCCGTAATTGCGGCTTCCCCCCGGGTGCCGGGGAGGCCGTGCCCGTCCCGGGGAGAGGCCGTGCCCGTCCCGGGGAGCTGCTCACCATGCGCAGGTCCCTCCTGTATCTGTTCTTGCTGATCAGGTGCCGCAGGCTCCTCAGGGAGCCGCGGGCGTCGCGGCGGATCCGCACCCGCACGTACGACGTGGCCGGTTTGCGCTGGCCTGGGAGGGGGGAAAAAAAAAAAACAACAAAAAAAAAAATTACATTTTTTGTGGGTGGTTTCTCCACAAATCTGAATTTCGAGAAGGGGGATGCGGCCACCTGCTCGTTTTTTGAGGACCACCACGATGCCTTTGCCATCCGGAGCCGGCTCCACGCCCACGGTCTTGCGGTGGATCAATCCGTTGTAGCGGAAAGAATTCCTGGCCTTGAGGTTGTTGGGCTCCTGGGGGGGGGGATTGGGACACATTTAAGAGGGGATTTTGGGGTGATCTTAAAAATTTTGGAGGCTTCTGGACAAAGCCTAAGGATTTAGAACGGGTTATGAGATGTTTGGGGGTGGGCTCAAGGGTTTAGCAAGGATTTTAGGGGGGGTTCAAAAGGGATTTGAAGGGGTCTGGGGGTGTCTCCAAGAATTTGTACGGGATCCAAAAAATGCGGGAGGTGCTCAGGAGGGTGGGGGGAGAGGCAGGGTAGAAACCCAAAGGGTTTGGGCTGAGTTTAGAGGGTTTGAGGGGGTCCCAGGAGGGAATGGGGGGCGTCGCGAGGTGTTTGGGGGAACCCAAATTATCCGAGAGGGCACTTAGGTGTTAACGGGGTTGATTGAGTGTTTAGCTTATCTTGTTGCGGTTTAACGGGAATCAGTGTGAGGGCCTCATCTTGATATTTGGGGCGGCCCTGAGGGGGTCCCCGCTCCCCCTCCCGCTTTCGGGGTGCCCCCTCCCCGCACTGACGGTGCTGTAGGTCTGGTTGTTCCTCTTCAGCAGGAAACTGGAGCAGTTCCGCACCACCATCCACTGCAAATGGGCCGACATGGCGCCTGCGGACACCGAGCAAGGCCGTGAGGGGAGCGGCCTCGGAGCCCGCCGCCACACCGGGCCCGCTTCTTACAGCCCCATCCCGCCAGCCCCGCGTTCCCCCCGCCCTTAGGGACCCTTCCCAGGGTTGGGAAGCTTTTTCCCGGTACCAAAAACCCCCACGGGCCGCCCCAAACCGGAGCTCCACGCGGTACCTCCGCTCCCTGCGGCCGCCGGAAACGGAAAGAGCGATGGGAGCCTCGGCAATCTCCGCCCCACTTCCGCAAGCTCCGGCCCCTTCCGCAAGCTCCGCCCTCCTCCGGCAATCTTCGCCCTTCACTCGGATCTCTCCGCCAACACTCGTAAATTTCCGTCAGTGTTCGTCGGTCGCAGCATTACTTCGGGAATTTCCGGTTTCTTTCGGGATTTTCCGGCCCTCTTCGGCAGGCTCCGCCGCCGCCTCGGAGCGGCGTTCGGGTCCTTTCGGCTGCGTGAGGGAGTTTAAGGAAAATGGCGGGAAACATGAGGGGGGAAAAAGGGTGGGAAATGTGAAGGGAAAATGATGGGAAACGTGAGGGGAAAAAAGGCTGGAAAAATGAGGGGAAAAGGGTGGGAAACGTGAGGTTAAAAGGGCGGGAAACGAGGGCAAATGGGTGGGAAACGTGAGGGGGGGAAAAAGGGCGGGAAGCGTGAGGGGAGAAAAGGACGGGAAGCGTGAGGGGTCAAAAAAGGGCGGGAAAACGTGAGGGGAGAAAATGGAGGAACCGTGAGGGGAAAAAAGGACGGGAAAAGTGAGGGGGTCACACCTGGAGCAGCACTTCCAGGTGAGGTCTTATACTGGTTATACTGGTTTGTACTGGTTTATACTGTGGCGTAGTGGGTTAAGTGGGGTTAGAGCAGGTTTTGCTGGGTTTAGTGGGGTTATGCTGGTTTGTACTGGGCCATAATGGGTTAACTACAGTTAGCTGGGGTTCTACTGGGTTCTGTTTGCTTTTACTGGTTTATACTGGGCCATGCTGGGTTAACTGAGGTTACACTGGGTTATTTTTACTTGTACTGGTTTATACTGGGTTACACGCAGTTAGATTGGGTTTATTGGGTTATATTTAGATACAATGGTTTATAGTGGATTAAGTGCAGTTGAACTGGGTTATACTGGGCTATATTTATTTATACTGGTTTATATTGGTTTATACTGGGCCATACTGGGTTAAATGCAGTTAGACTGGGTTTACTGGGCTATAGTTACTTGTACTGGTTTATACTGGGTTAACCATAGTTAGACTGAGTTTAGTGGGTTCTTCTGGCCAGTATTTACTTGTACTGGTTTTTACTGGTTTATACTGGGCCATACTGAGTTAAATGCAGTTAGATTGGTTAATGCTGGGTTATACTGGGCTAGCTGTAGTTAGACTGGGTTTTACTGGATTATGTTTACTTGTACTGGTTTATACTGGGTTAAATACATTTGAACTGGGTTTTCTGGGTTATATTTACTTGTACTGGCTCATACTGGGTTATACTGGTTTCTATTGGGTTAAATGCAGTTAGGCTGGGTTTATTTGGTTGTGTTTACTTGTACTGGTTTATACTGGGTTATACTGGGCCCGTGAGAACCGGATGGGTGGGGGGGGTCCCGTGGGAACCTGAACCCCCCCCGCCCCTCCCCCTCCGCCCTTCCTGTTGTTTTGGGGGGGGGCAGGAAATGGGGGGGGAGGGGCGAGGCCTTAAAAACCAGCGGGGTGGGGGAGGGGGGAACAGCACCCGTGGGACCAGGTGAGAGGGGACCCCAAAAAATGAGAAACCCTAGAAATTGGGAAACCCAAAAATGGGAAACTGCAAAAAAATGGGAAACCCCCAAAACGGGAAACTTTAAAGATTTGGAATCCCCAAAAATGAGAAACCCCAAAAATGGGAAAGCAAAAAAATTGGAAACCTTAAAAATTGGGAAACTTCCAAAATTTGAAACCCCCAAAAATGGGATCCCAAACCCTCCCCCCCCCAGCAATCCTGAGGTTTTTTTGGGGGGGGGAAATTTGGGTTTTTTTGGGAGGTTTGGGGTTTTTGGAGGGGGTTTGGGGGTCCCCAGTTT